CCCCAAAACCCCAAAACCCCAAAACCCCAAAACCCCTATCTCCATTCTCAAAATTGAAATTCTATTATAAAACTGTGAGAGTTTCTAGTCTACACTTTTAACACAGTAAACCTACGCTTGTTCTGCCTAAAGAGCATTTGCTTGATCTTATCTTCAATCTTGATATCTCTAATAAGATTAGTGAGCTTCCACTCTCTATTCTCCTTAACCTCAATAGACTCTTTAATACTTCTGTTAATGCTCTTGTACTGCAACTGTGAAAGCAATAATTTACCTTCTGTTTTATAAGGTTATTCTATAACGATTAGACTCATTCAAATGATTTGGTCACTAAGGTTTAACAAAAATGTGCAATTGAGATTTAAGTTGCAACTCAAAATGGAAGCTTAAGAAATTGGTCAATAGATCTTACTTTAACCACTTTGGGAATCACCGACCCTGGGAAGTTCTTATCTGGATGGTTGTGAAACACACTTACTAAGATCGCTAATGATCAAATCTCGTTTATGGTTCTGGTCCTTGAGGAATGAATTTTTCTTCTTTTTGAGTAGAATTTTAGCTCTCTATTGGTGAATTCCCAATTTACATTGAAGTATTTATTTCTGATTTTCAACTTTAATGTTTATGTTTCTTAACAATTCTTTCACTCTTGCTTTTCTTGTAGACAGAGAGGTAGTGAACCCTGTCTTGGCAAAGCTGTTATTTGTACTAAGAGCTTTGTGCTTTCGAGTTTTCCTGCTCCTAGAAATGATAATGATGATGGTACCTCCTGCTTGATATGTCCTGGTTTAAGTAATCAGAAGATGACAACGACCTGGATACAATTAATGAGGAGCAATATGGGCTATGACTTTCTCTTTTCTTATCTATTAATACTTAGTGTTATGCTTCTAAAATTTTGAATTTACCAAAAATTGAGACTCGATTTCCCTTTGAAGTGAAAACTCTAAATCTTTTATCACTTGTTTCAAGCTTGATTTTTGTTAACCGCTTATCTAGTTTACTAAAAACTGAACATATAAAATTACTTAAGCATCTTCTGTCTAATCTTAGCATCTTTTCTTGTCAGCGATTCCATATCAGGTTTTAAATTTTTCTATAACTCAAGTTAGCTATTTTCATCTATTCTCAGACAGATTTTAGAAAGAACTGGATTAGGTAGTCAACCTTTAAAATCAAAATTTACCTTAATTTTGGTCTTTAATCTCTTGGCAATAGACTTCATGAATGGAATAGACTCGATATTAATAGTTACACTTGACATTTTGATATTTCACTTCAATAAATATTATAGCCAGCGGGGTTTTGGGGTTTTGGGGTTTTGGGG